GTTCAGCCCCCAAAGCCACAAAAAAACCCTTTCTCGAAAAACCAAAAAAAAAAAAAAAAAAAAAAAAAAGAATCTTGAACTAAGTATATCTGTCCCCTAACACAATCACTCTTGAATATGTTGTCTAGGGCACTAAACGTGGTAGCTTCATTAAAGTGATTTGCATACCAGTCCTTGAATAAAACTGTCATTGTACAAAAAAGTGACTGAGTCAGGCTATACTATACTATAGTGATAAGTGTTCACTAGACAGGAGAAGTCTTGTTAGTTTTCTGTCTCAGAATTCTTTTTCTTTCCTGGGGAAAAAGAGAGATTCATCAGAAAGCCATCTAATCAAGCAATAATGGCAAAAATTTAAAAATGGATTGTAAAGTTGACCTAAACGGTATTTTTCAAGACTGTGGATCAGAAAGACAAATGCCAGCCTTTATTGCTGCTAACAAGATTGCTGCAGTGAGGAAGTGTGAAGCTCAACAAAGAGATGGATTTCATTTGCCCACGATGAACAGTCCAGCCTCACTGATAACTTCAGTGTTCTTCACTGGAGAAAGTCTTGTTCTCCTGTATGCCTTGACTTTCAGTAAAAGAATATATGTTTGTGTAACACACAGCTTTGTGACAGTTCTGGGGAGTTCATACAGCCCAAGAAAGAATGAAAAGGCTCAGCATTGAACCTGCACTTATTACTGCCAGTGCTAGATGGTGATACCACAACAAAAGACACTGCCTGTTTGTCACATACAAAGGGGCAGCCTTGTTGTCCAAAGCAGTTGATGTTTAAGGTACTTCTCATATATAAAGACCAGAGATGTTTTTGTTACGTTAATTCTTTATTAAGTGCAGACATTTTTATAGTTTTATGCTTTGATAGGCACCAAAATAAAAACTTAGAAGTATGGTTATCCTAACATTGTTGTTTTGAAACAACTTTGCTAATTAATGAGAAGCATTTAATCAAACTGCTATGAAATATCTGGCACTTTGTTATTTACCTGTCTGCTTCTGTAAATGTTGCCCCGCTTTGATGGACAGAATGAATTTGAAGGCAGTGACAGAATACCACTTTAGCTTTTGTAAGGCCTGCTGCTATTTTCAGAACTACAAGCTGTATTTCTGTTTGCTGAACCATGAAGTGCTGAGCAAGACCTAAACCATTGTTCGCTTTTTCGTAGAGCAGAGAGGAGCCTTCAGGGGAAGTAGAGGAGGCCGAGGTTGGGGAACACGAGGAAATCGTAGTCGAGGAAGACTCTACTAGAGTGCGACATCACATTCTTCAGCATTGTCATGAGCTTAAATCTACTACTCATTGGATTGCCGGGGATGTCCCTTTAAAAGGACTGCTGCCTTCAGCTGAAAACGTAATGTTCTTTCTACCTTTGTATGTATGATCTACTTTTCTAACAGACCATGGTTGTGTCCAAGGTAAAACCACAATAATATTTTTGGATGCTTTGTCTGCCGCCTTGACTTGTTTTCACAATATCCTCATTATCAGACTTCATCTTGTGAATCTTGCTTTTAAACATCTTCATAATTTGGTATTGAGAACTGAGTCTAATGGAAAATTCAGTCTAGCTCGTGATCTGGTAAAGTTCATCACTTTTGAAAGGTTACTTATTTTCCTCCCCATTCTGTTAAAAGTTTTTTGCTCAATACATGGAGAAGAGTAAAGATCACTCTTAACCTTTTGCTTTCTTTCATGGATTTCTAATGAAGCTGCTAGGCAGTGTGGTAGCATTCCTACTAAGACACATAAAAGTTAAACACCAGCTTCTTACAACTACAAATGACGTTAAGTTTTTAGGATGCAGTAAGTTGATTTGCATTACTTCCTTCACTCTTCTCCATTTTTTGGGATACAGCTTTTGAACACAGGGTCTTATTATTATTCGAATAGGAGTACATGTGCATAATATACGTACAAACATAAGCATATGTTGTGTGTATATATGCATGCTATGGAACTTGAGTGTACAACAAATCAATATTTTAAATTCTAGGAATGGGTCATCTGACACAGTGATTATCCTTTTGAGGCTGAATCCATTACTGACTTGGTGTCTAGGTTTTTACTCCAGTAGGGAGGATTTTTGAGTCTGTAGTACTTACATGATTATTATTGTTTAAAAACAAAGGCTGTTTTTTTCAAAGACAAATTGAAGACCCTTGTTGGTGAAATCAGCCAGATCCTAAAAACAAAGGCTGTTTTTTTTCAAAGACAAATTGAAGACCCTTGTTGGTGAAATCAGCCAGATCTGGTGTACATACAGGTTCCCACAGGATGTGATAGGGTAATTTAGGATTTGGAGACTTAATAACCAGGGCTACCCAGGAAAGTGACTTGATGACATAGTACCATTAAATAAGAGATGCTCACTCAGTTTGCTTTTGCCACTTTCAAAATTTAACTTCTCAGGTTATTAATCAGATTATTGTATAAGTTAGCCAGTAGTCTTTAGATTAAAACAACAGATGGGAGGTTTGTGGAGTGTCTCAACATCATGGGCATTTTTAGTAGCCCGGACCCTTTGTTCTTCATTTGAAGAACATTTGTTCCATAGTTAATCTTCCTTCCCCAAGTTTGCTATTCAAATCAGATACTCAAAAGTCATTGCTAGTAAGTTTGTTGGGCTTTTTTTTTTGTTTTCTTTTGTTTCATTTTGGGTTTTTTTGTTGTTTTTTGAGGTTTTGATTCCTACACAGGTGTCTTCATTATCATTACTTCTACACTGGGAAAAAAAGCAAAACCCCTTTGTGAGAATTACTGCACATATTTATGTAGAAAATATTTCTAGAAGCCTAGAATGATACAAGTGAGCACAGCTTGACTATGGAGTGCTGGCAATAATCTCTAAACATTCCACAAGACTGAGCTGAACCTAGGCTTCCTTGGAATCTGAACAGACATAGGAACATGGGATTGGCAGTTGAGAACTGACCATCTAGTATGGACCTCAGATAGATCAGCCATGGCTTAACGCTATTTCAAGTACGAAAATGAATTGGACTACAGCAATATAAATTTGAACATAGTGTAATTTTTCCTTTCACTTGTCTGAGTGTATTTGTAAACTCAGCAGAAATAACTTGACCTCGTGTCTAACGCAGAGCTCACTGCATTCCTTCCTCCATACTACCTCAGTTTCTAAACAAGTACCTTCTTCAAAAGGTACTGGAACTAACTATTACTGATAACATAGAAAGAGACCGTTTATCAGGAGAGATAAAGCAAGAATTTTGGTGCCTCCCTAAGCAGTACTGTAATGGAAGGCAATTTCTACAAGATTTTATGTTGAAAAAAAAAAAAAAGAGGTCTATTAGAGCTGCATGTGGTGTTCCCAATGCTCAAGGAGGCTTCCAGGCCAGCCAGGACTACTCAGTGAAATCCTGTCTTAAAAAAAAAAAAAAAAGTGTGTGTGCTAGATTTTTGTTTAAATATGAAAATAAAGAAGGGCGCAAGATGAGACATGAAACTAAGAGAATATATTAACCAGTTTATTATATCACGGAGAGTGAGTGAGAGAGAAATAGAAGAGAGGAGGAGAAGAGGCAGAGAGAGAAGAGAACATAAGTGGGCAGGGGTCTGTCTTTTGAAGGGGTCCTCTACACCTGCATACAGACTTAGTTCCCATGGAACCCTGGGCTGACCAGGGTACAGCCTGAGTGGATTCTGCCAGGTAGCAGGGGCAGGCCAGCGTAATGCCTGAACCTTACAATCCTACCTTTACTATTATTAAAAAGGTGGGTTGTTAGACATGGCAGATTAAGGAATAAGGGCATTGAATTCTCAAAACTGATTCCTGCTGTCCTAGGGGGTGTTGACCATCTTTGGGGGACCCAAGAAGGTTGTGGTACTGCCACATCCTGGGGTAGCTGGTTGTTTCGTAGCTGTCCAGTATGTATGGAACTCCCTGGTGCCTCTTAGACCTGGCAAGATGTTGGCAGAG